CCTACGCGAAACTCATAAATAGTGGTTTCCTTTTACTTGGTGTTGCCATTTACTGTTACTGTTGTACTCACAAGCTTTGAGGCTTGGTCAAGTTGCCAATCGTGGATGGGATGGTCCCGTTTAATTTATTGGACTGTAGATACCTGATGGGGTGTGAAGAGTAGGCACTCATAGGTGTAGAAACTAGCGAAGGGAAAGGAGGGAGAACGTGAGAAGGGACGCACAGAGGAAACTAAAAAAAAAAACAGAACAAACAAAAAATGTGTAGAATACTGTATTAAGCAATGGAGAATATGTTGTAGTGTTGTCGTGTTGGTGTACTACATTCCAAAATGTTGGGAGCGTGCAAAACGCAAAGAACACATCCCAAACATTTGGAGGGTAAAAGAGCCACATCCCAAACATCTGGTGGGTAAAAGAGCCACATCCCAAACATCTGGAGGGTAAAAGAACCACATCCTAAAATCTGGGAAAAGTGGCACACTTCTGTTGCCTCCCCGTGTTGGAAAACGCGAACGCCACCTCTTCCATGCCTAGAGCACTTGAGGCAATACAGAAACGACACATTGAATACTGAAGGTTAGTGCTGGCTTTTAACTGCTTTCATGGAACGTACAAGTATTGAAGGCTGATCAGGTTGCCAATAGTGGACCGAATGGACCCATTCAAGAGATTTCCGCTTACACCCCTTACAAAGTGCACCGGGAAAGGGATCTAAGGACAAAAAGACGATTGTACCAAAAGAACATGCCATATGGATTTGGGGGTGCCCTTCCACGTCTAGGGCACTTGAGGCCACAGAGAGACAAGGCAACCGCGTGAATTCAGAAGATTAGTGCTTTCTTTTAACTGCTTCGATAGAACGTACAAGTATTGAAGGCTTGTCAGGTTGCCCCCCTGCTCTCTACTGCCCCCTGCTCTCTGCTGCCCCCCTGCTCTCTGCTGCCCCCCTGCCCTCTGCTGCCCCCTGCCCTCTGCTGCCCCCCTGCTCTCTGCTGCCCCCTGCTCTCTGCTGCCCCCTGCTCTCTGCTGCCCCCCTGCTCTCTGCTGCCCCCCTGCTCTCTGCTGCCCCCCTGCTCTCTGCTGTCCCCCTGCTCTCTGCTGTTCCCCTGCTGTCCCCTGCTCTCTGCTGCCCCCCTGCTCTCTGCTGTCCCCCTGCTCTCTGCTGCTCCCCTGCTCTCTGCTGCCCCCTGCTCTCTGCTGCCCCCCTGCTCTCTGCTTCTCCCCTGCTCTCTGCTGCCCTCCTGCTCTCTGCTGCCCCCCTGCTCTCTGCTGCCTCCCTGCTCTCTGCTGCCCCCCTGCTCTCTGCTGCCCCCCTGCTCTCTGCTGCCTCCCTGCTCTCTGCTGTCCCCCTGCTGCCCCCCTGCTCTCTGCTGCCCCCCTGCTCTCTGCTACCCCCCTGCTCTCTGCTGCCCCCCTGCTCTCTGCTGCCCCCCTGCTCTCTGCTGCCCCCCTGCTCTCTGCTGCCCCACTGCTTTCTGCTGCCCCCCTGCTCTCTGCTGCCCCCTGCTCTCTGCTGCCCCCCTGCTCTCTGCTGCCCCCCTGCTCTCTGCTGTCCCCTGCTCTCTGCTGCCCCCCTGCTCTCTGCTTCCCCCCTGCTCTCTGCTGGCCCCCTGCTCTCTGCTGCCCCCCTGCTCTCTGCTGCCCCCCTGCTCTCTGCTGTCTCCCAGCTGTCCCCCTGCGCTCTCCTAACTTCCTGCTGTCCCCCTGCTCTCTTTGCTCTACCTCTCTCTCCTCTCCCATCCTTTCCTCCATCCTCCCTCCCCTCTCTCTCTTCTCTGTCAAGCCTTTCCCCTATCCTCTACCCTTTGCCATGTCATGTCACCTTCGCTCCCATGCCCTCGCCAGTTTTGTCATCCGTATTTCCTGTCTCTCAACCACTTTCCCCTTCCCACCCCTGTCATCACGTCTCTCTCCCCTGCTGCCTCCCCTCCCCTCCCGCTGCCAAACCTCCATACACCCCTGAACCTGCACACCACTCCCCTTATCCACGCCTCGCTTCTCCACCCTGCCCCGCGCCTGTGTGTCTCTCTTTTGGACTTGGCTCAACAGCTGTCCCCCTCCCCTGCTGCAATCACGACACCTGGCATTCCTCCCGCCCCTGCTGTGGCAACAGCTGCAGTGCTTGCAGACAGCATTTCAGAAGCAGAGAAGGGCATTATCAGGCGGCCGAAGAATGCAGAGGTGTGGGATCAGAGTGGAAGGGGGGGGAGGGGATGGGGGGGAACGCATGGGGAAGCAAGTATCTGGAGCGGCCAGAGTGTGCAAGCGGGAGGTGGCGTGACAGGCATGGAGACACACATGGTTGGTTTGGCAATAGCAGCTGAAGCCAACGGCTATGCCAGCACTGCCGCCAATGCTGCAATAATATCTGCTGCCACCGGTGCTATACTTCTGCAATAAAGCGCCGCCTTGTTTCTCTCTAAGGAAGCCACAGAGGTGCAAAATGCATTTTGCATATTAGTCCATTGTGATGATGTTATTCATAATGATTTTCCTAGGTACGAGTTACATGCAATGTATACTACACAAATGGGTGTCGAGGTTCCACAAGGCCTTTTGAAGTCAACCAGATCGGAACCCTATTCTCACGTCACGCTTATTGGCGGAGGTAGTCCCCCTCTATGCTTGTTTCGTCGGAGTCTCCCCCATTCGCATAACATGACCCGAGACTAGATCTTACTTGAACATGCCCCCTGATACAATTGAATTCCTGTCTCGCCATTCTGGCGGGAAATTTGGTCTGTCGTGCATGGCTTCACCGTCGCACGCGTTTCCATATCGCCCAAACCCCAGTAGGTGCGAAAATTTTTGGTTCAAATCTGCCCATCTGCCCCAAACTTCTTACGGCAGTGTCGCACTAGCACCCCAGTTTTTTTCAAGTATGCCCACTTTCAAGAGCGGCGCTCTTGAAGCCCCCCCCCCCTGCTATTATAGCCTGTGGTTTTAAACGACCGATCTTTTCAAACATAACGGAATTTTCAAAACAAACAAATTTGTTACGCATTTCTGCGGTTGGGTGTACACCTTAAGAGACACCTTAAGAGTTAAGTACCTAAACTGACGCCCAAGCTAGCTGGGGCGATTTTAGCCCGCCGAATCCAGTCCGTCGCCTACGCGCATTTTATCGCCTGCCTACGTCGATTTTAGTTAGCGTAGTTTTGCAATGCCGCGCACCCCGTCGGCTTTGTGGACGCACGTGACCCGCACCCAAGATGACCAAGGCAAGGTCATCCAGACGGAGTGCAACTACTGCAAGATCAGCATTACTGGTAGCGCGACTAGCATCCAAGAGCACTTGTACGGCATCCCGGCATTCAAGTTCAAGAATGTGGCGGAGTGCAAGAGCAAGTTCGCTAAGAACCTCCATGCCAAGGGTCTCACCCCCACTAACACCACCTCCAACATCCATGGCTCCACATCCGCGGTTCGAGCTCCGGCCGTCAAGGGCAGCCGAAATCGGGACATCCGAGGGATGGTCGACAAGGCCGGCCATGATGCATTGGATCTCCTCTGGGCCACCGCCGTCATTGAAAACGATTGGGCCTTCCGCGTTTCATGGTAAGCATGCCCCATTATATTCTCATGCATGTGCATCTTACCACTTCCTTTCCCACCAGAACTTGTCGCGCTTGCTCGGCATGCTCTGCCCGGCGCTCCGACTAATTACCGCTTCCACCCCACCCCCCTCACCTAGGTCACCCGCCTTGCAATCGTTCGTTGAGGGGGTTGTCGCTTACCGGAAGCCGTATACGCTGCTGAGTGCGTACAAGGTCTCCCACCCGCTCCTAGCCAAACTCAAGGCCGATACGGATGCCCTCATGACGCCAATCCGGGACTCGTGGGCCACGAGCGGGTGCTCTCTATCCGTGGATGGGTGGTCGGACATGAAGATTAGCGGCCTTTTTTGCATCGTCGCCATGAATGACACGGCGCCCGTGGTCGTTGCCGTGGTGGACACACCAAGACGCACAAGAAGACGGGCGTCTACTTGCATCGCTGATCTGCCCGGCAATTGTGGAGGTGGGAGATAACCACGTTGTCCAAATGGTGATGGACAATGCGAGTTACAACAAAAAGGTGGCCGAGGAGCTCCGTGATGGGTACCCCTCTGTGTTTTTTACGAACTGCGCCGCGCATTGCTTGGATTGGATGCTTCAAGTTCTCGGTTTGATTGGGGTGGTTAAGAAGGTCTTGCTTCAACCACACCGGGTGGTGATGCTTGTTAAGAACAGCTCTACCGCCGTGAATCTCTTCCGAGAGGTTTACAGTGAGCTTGAGCTCGAACCACCAGATTCGGCACCCAAGTGATCATGGTGGGCCGGTTCGTGGAGGTGAAGAGGCAACTGCGAAACATGGTCATAAGTGAAGAGTGGGGGGAGGTGCCGGCAGCTAAACCAGAGGAGGGGCTCCGAATCCGCCGCCTCCTCCTCGACGATGCTTTTTGGGGCTCGGTGGAGGTAGTGTTGAAGCTCATGACGCCGGGGTGGTCCACCTTCGGGGGGGAGGTGAGGGCGCTTCAGGAGATGGCCGCCAAGATCCTCTCCCAGCCCTGCACGCCGAGCGAGGTGGAGCGGGCATGGTTGGCCTTCAACTGGGTGCAGCGACGTGATCGCAACCGACTGAATTCCAGCACCATTTTCGACATCACAATGGTGGCGTTCAGCCGGCGATCCCGGGCCGCCTTCGATCGGAAATAGGCAGCCCGTGAGCGCCTCTATGCCGACCTCGGGTCTAGCGTGTTGGGGGGAGGGATCCCTCCTTCCCTCACCGCTTCCTCTCAAGCGGTGGGCGGGGAGGGGGGGAGGAGGAGGAGGTGCAGGAGGAGGAGGGTGCTGGAGCGTGCACCATCAATTGGGCCACCTTTGGCAACATTGGTGCGCCCAAAAAGCGCAAGATGAAGGGGAAGAAGGGGAAGGGAGGGAAGAAGGTGTGCGGGGAAAAGAAGGGTGCTGGAAAACGCGGCAAAGAGGTAGAGGAGGAGCCGGCCAAGAGCACGAGTGATGGCGGCAGCAAGGGGGAGGAGAAGGATGGCCTTGGGCTTTAGGGTTAAGGGTTTAGGGAGGAGGAGGGAGGAGGAGGGAGGAGGAGGGAGGAGTAGGGAGAGGAGGGAGGAGGAGGGAGGAGGAGGGAGGAGGAGGGAGGAGGAGGGAGGAGGAGGGAGGAGGAGGGAGGAGGAGGAGGAGGGAGGGAGGAGGAGGGAGGAGGAGGGAGGAGGAGGGAGGAGGAGGGAGGAGGAGGGAGGAGGAGGGAGGAGGAGGGAGGAGGAGGGAGGAGGAGGGAGGAGGAGGAGGAGGAGGAGGAGGGAGGAGGAGGGAGGAGGAGGGAGGAGGAGGGAGGAGGAGGGAGGGAGGAGGGAGGAGGAGGGAGGAGGAGGGAGGAGGAGGGAGGAGGAGGGAGGAGGAGGGAGGAGGAGGGAAGGAGGAGGGAGGAGGAGGGAGGAGGAGGGAGGAGGAGGGAGGAGGAGGAAGGAGGAGGGAGGAGGAGGGAGGAGGAGGGAAGAGGAGGGGGGAGGGGGGAGGAGGAGGAGGAGGAGGAGAAGGAGGAGGAGGAGGAGGAGGAGGAGGAAGAAGAGGAGGAGGAGGAGGAGGAGGAGGAAGAGGAGGAGGAGGAGGAGGAGGAGGAGGAGGAGGAGGAGGAGGAGGAGGAGGAGGAGGAGGAGGAATGAGGCAGAGCTGGCCAAAGTAGGAAAGGGGAAAAGTAGGTGGAGGTGGAGGGAGGGGGAGAAGGAGGAGGAAGAGGGAGTAGGAGGAGAAGGAGGAGGAGAGGGAGTAGGAGGAGGGAGAGGAGGAGAGAGAGTGGGAGGAGGGAGATGGAGGAGAGAGGGAGTAGGAGGAGTTTTAGGGAGTAGGAGTAGGAGGAGTAGTAGCCTAGGAGGAGTAAGTAAAAGAGAGTAGGAGGATTTTTTCTCTGTTGTTTACACACCCACCTTGCATGCACCGTATCCATGTTTTTTTGTTTTTTTTTTGTTGCCATCATTAAATTAAACGGCCTATTAAAAAACACCATTTTTGTTTTCAGAAATTCACCATATTATACCATAAAAAAATGGACTGCTATTTTTTTCAACCTTGGTAAGCACAAGCAGGTTTGTGGCTGAGCACAAGAACGATAGTGGGTAAGCACACACAGGGCTGTGAGTAAGGACATGCAGGATTGTGAGTAAGCACAAGTAGGATTGTGGGTAAGCACAATCAAGATTGCGGGTAAGCTCAAGCAGGATTGTGGGTAAGCAGAAGCAGGGTTATGAGTAAGCACAACCAGGATTGTGGGTAAGCACAAGAAGGATTGTGGGTAAGCACAAGCAGAATTGAGAGTAAGCACAAGCAAGATCGTGAGCAAGCACACGCATGATTGTGAATAAGCACAAGCAGGATTGTGAGTACGCACAAGTAGGATTGTGAGTATGCACAACTCAGGGTTGTGAGTACGCACAAGCAGGATTGTGAGTACGCACAAGCAGGATTGTGAGTAAGCACAAGCAGGATTGTGAGTATGCACAAGCAGGATTGTGAGTACGCACAAGCAGGATTGTGGGTAAGCATAAGCAGGATTGAGCGTCAGCTCAAGCAGGATTGTGGGTAAGCACAAGGAGGAATGTGAGTAAGGACGAGCAGGATTGTGGGTAAGCGCAAGCAGGATAATGGGTAAGCACAAGCAGGATTGTGAGTTAGCAAAAGCAGGAATGTGGGTAAGCACAAGCAGGATTGTGGGTGATCTCAAGAAGGATTGTGGGTAAGCACAAGCAGGATTGTGGGTAAGGAAAAGCAGGATTGTGGGTAAGCAGAAGCATGATTGTGAGTAAGCAGAAGCAAGATTGTGAGTAAGCACAAGCAGGATTGTGAATACGCACAACCAGGATTCTGAGTACGCACAACCACGATTGTGAGTACGCAGAAACAGAATTGTGAGTAAGCACAAGCAGGCACAAGCGGGATTGTGAGTACGCACATGCAGTATTGTGAGCATGCACAAGCAGGATTGTGAGTACGCAGAAGCAGGATTGTGAGTAAGCACAAGCAGGCATAAGCATGATTGTGAGTACGCACAACCAGGATTGTGAGTACGAACAATGAGGATTGTGAGTAAGCACAGGCAGAATTGTGAGTACGCACAAGAAGGAGTGTGAGTACGCACAAGCAGGAGTGTGAGTACGCACAAGTAGGATTGTGAGTACGCACAAGGAGGATTGTGAGTACGCACAAGGAGGATTGCGAATACGCACAAGCAGGATTGCGAATACGCACAAGCACGATTGTGAGTACGCACAAGCAGCATTGTTGTCACAAGATCGAATAAGGTTTGCTCAATGTTCACTATCAATCAGTACAAGGTGCTTTTATACTTCCAGATTACATCAGGTAGCCTGGTTTATCCTATCCAAAGAGAATAGACCCTTCTAGAAATAGAATCACCCTGCGTATAGCCACGCGAGGCTATTGGCTTTAAGGGATTACGGCTAGATTACGCTAGATATAGCGCACTAGTACATCCCGAGCCTGGTCGGTGATATAATTATAATAACATGATAAACCAAAGGATAATGGAATAGGAGGAATAGGAAACCAAATGAGATAAGACCAAATGAATCAGGAGAAAAAGAGGAATGAAATAGAAAGGAAATATGGAAAGGGAAAAATAGTGTAACGGGATCGTACTCTCACACTTCCCCCCCTCAAAGCTGGGTGGTAGAAGTAACACCCTGCTTGACAAGGTAGTCTCGAAGAGGACGACGGGCGTTACCCATGTCGGATTCACAGACGCAGCCTCAGAAGGATCAAAACCCTTCCAGCAAAGAAGAAGCTCCAGAGTGCCATTCTGACGACGACTGTGTCCAAGCACGTAGTTGTCCCATGTCGTGGATGAACACGGGCCGCGACAGTGATTGGCATTCGATGTAGAGCGTGTGTGGTCTTGATAGGGTTTTAGAAGCTGGTATGGAAGGCGTTATGGATCTCTCAAGTGGCTGGTTGGCGGAAGCGGAAGTTGACTGAAGTGACCTTTGCTTCAACGATGATAGACCCGCAGAAGCAAGTTTGAAGCTTAGATGGAAGATGGCTGATGTCGAGATTATGGTGTGGATAACTGTAGTGATGAGCAGCCAGGTGCTTCTGCTGCTGTTGGATTTCCAAGTGGCGTGTCCAGTGTTAGAGCTGATGGACAACGGTGATGAAATGGATTTATCGATTTTTTTGGTGTGGGCTGGTTGCAACTGTAGGTGGTACACGAATGGCGTTGATCGTGATCGAGATGCTGTAGCGGAAGAGTAGATGTACTGTCCTTTCGGTGGGTGCTCTAGCTGGCACACTGTAGTATGCGTTGAGTCTCGGGTAGCACATCCTGGTATTACGCGCATCCCGTCCACGTATGAAAATGACTAAGTATTGGTGGTGCTGCAGTCGTATTATAGTCCTGCTTCCGTAGCAGCATTGTATCAGATACATGCAGCTTCTGTCGAATGCTGGTCCATGCCTTAGTATTGTCGCGAGTCGTACCCTCTCCACATCGTAGTGCTGCGGGATGGAGAGCAGAATCACTAGTAGTAACCCTGTCCACCACGCGGTCTGCTAGTCACACTGCCTTGAGTACAACAGCGCATGGGAAGTGCTGCTCAGCGTATCCCTTGTGTTCAGAACCATGCGAGGGGTTGGTACCATAAACACGGAGCTGGTAACTTCCAAAATCGGCGCCAAAGTAGTTTCCCTCGGTGGTTGCTCCAGTAAGGAATCTCTGCTGCATAGATATCCCACGGTGATGGGTTAGGACATCTGGGAATGTTATGGGTATTCCCAAGTAATCCTTTCCCACTTCCAAATGGGCATTGGTGACAGCCAATCCAGTATGACCTTATGCACTTCCAGTTTAGCACGGAGGCCATCGGTAGGCATCGGTGTCTGGGCACACATATTGGAATAGGTCTTCTGGTGCCATCATGTGTTGTGTCATTCTGTTACTGTCCTTGAAGTAGCGTTGATGTCGAAGAAGTCTCAGCTACTCAGCATCGATGTTGAAGTCTGCTTAATTTCGGCAAACAGGGGTGTTGTTGGAGATACGCGGAGTCCACTATCCGGAGTGGCGTCGGCGCTCCATTCCATGCCTATCTGCTTCCGTGGAGTTGGTGCTCGTGATGGATTGGTTGCGACGCAGGTTTTATGACTTTAAGGAAAGCCATAGGCCATGAGGACTTGTATACCGGTAGAGTACCGTAGTCCTCCCATCCTCATAAGAGCAAATATCTCCTGCTCTTGAGGGTATATGGCATTGCCATAGCTATTGTTTCCTTGCATAGTGGTATCTCCTCCCCACTAGCTGGAAATCATAGTATTGTGCCGGGCCGGGACTTTACGATCCACTGGAATATAATCCAGCATTATCTCCATTGAGCGGAGAATCATCCATCAGGATTTGGTTGTGACTGTTGTGTCGAGTCTTCTGCTGCGGCGGCGGCGGCGGTTGCGACGACGGCGACGGCGGCAGCTGCTGCAGAGAATTCTCTCAACCCGTAATGGTTGAAGGAGAATCCATCAACTCCCTCTTCCCAGTAGAGTTGTCCTGATGGGTGTAACAGGCGTAACTACCAGGAACACGTGCACATTGGTACACATGTGTTGCTCCATTGCTGCCGGTGATGGTTTCATTTGAGAGTATGAAGAGAAATTTGCTTCTCCCCTCAATGTATCCACGGGTAGCAATTCCTGGTATGCTCATCCGTGCCTCCGATGAACGGTCAGTAGAGCACGTAATTGTGTTGTAGTAGTCCGCATCTCCCTCATTTGTTGACACCTCATGTTTCTTGGCGTTTCCTGCATCGTCGAAGTTACGCTGATGCTTGTAACGCTTCGGCTTCTGATAGAATCGCCTCCAATGCATGTGCCGTAGGGTTGCTAGTGAACGAATACTTGCCGGATTAGAGGTTAATTACTCCTCAATCTGTCAAGCATCGTGATGTGCACGGAATTTGTTTTCCACGCAGGTCATTAACACCTAGAATCGCGACGCATGATTGGTGTGTCTCCTCGTGAAGTTGATGTTGAGACTGCTCCAATCAATCCCTTCAGATCGCTGAGATTCTTGATGAAGATGAATCGGTCAGCTCCTATTACAAAGTAGTGTCTCGCTGGCCTTGACGAGACGGGTTCACTGCGTCGTCGTTGCGTGCAAAATCTGCTCCTTCGCAGCAACTTGATGTCTGCAATCCCATAGGTTGTCGATCAAATTTATGAGATAAAGTGTCTCATGGATGGAGAACATGTCTTCACGCAGCTCCATTGTTATTCCGGGGTGAAGATCCGCAGTGCTGATGTCGATCCTTTTTCTAACGAAGATGGCTTTGTCAAAATAATTTGATCGTTATCGACACTAGTTAGAAGATGCATCGATGGTGCAGTCTTTGGTCACGAACGTTGTCTCCATAATGATGTTTTCCCATAGTGTAGTCTCTGCTGCATTCGTGTCGTTGATTCCGCACCGATCCAACGATCCACGATCTCCTGTCAGTTTCCTGCTTGCAGCTATTACCGAGTAGGTAATACTCTGGCAGATTTCTGACTCCGCGGATGATTTTGCGCCATATTGGTTACCAAATGAAGGAATTCGAATCTGGTTGTCCATATGATGACAGCGGTGTCAAAAGCGGCTAATTTTTTGTTCTGCGCGTCATTCTCCCTTTGTGCAGAAGTCGCGCTCCATCTCGTCCGTTGAAGCAGAAGTCGATCCGCCAGTCTAAACTCCAAGCGATCTGAAGAGTTTCCTGAGTCGCGTTCAGCAGCTTTCGGTGACCGGGTAGACTCGTTTCCTGAAGCAATTCTCGGTCGTCGATGTTGGCTGTCGAACGATCGGACGCTCCGAAGAACTTCACGGCTTGCGAGGTCCCGTTCCCATTCACGCTGAAACTCGAACTCGCTCAGCAGGATTTCGTTTCGCCTCGATCGATCTGAAGCGTCGGTCCTCCATCGGACGGATGTTGTCGGTCGCAGCTCCGCACATTGCCGCGCAACTCCAAGTGTTGTGGCGAACTGCGACCTTCTCTGAATGTCGCAGGGTTTGTTCCGCCAGAAGTGACGTGTTCGCAAGGTCTACGCCGTTTGCCCCCGCAAATTTTTTTGGCACCGTCGATCTAGTCCATCGAACGGTTGGCGAGGCGTCTCGCCTTCGAAGGGGACCCCAGGTGCAACTGCGAGAGGTGAGTCGAAACTTAAATGAAAGTGCATTGTACTTACAGGAATTGAAGTTTCGACTCCATCCTCCGCGTGCTCCTGGGAGGCCCAGCGGTTAAGCGTTGAGCTGAAACCCTGGCTCTGATTACCAAGTGTTACAGGATCGAATGAGGTTTGCTCAATGTTCACTATCAATCAGTACAAGGTGTTTCTATACTTCCAGATTACATCAGGTAACCAGGTTTATCCTATCCAAAGGGAATAGACCCTTCTAGAGATAGAATCACCCTGCGTATAGCCATGCGAGGCTATTTGCTTTAAGGGATTACGGCTAGATTACGCTAGATATAGAGCGCTAGTACACCCCGAGCCTGGTCGGTGATATAATTATAATAACATGATAAACCAAAGGATAATGGAATAGGAGGAATAGGAGACCGAATGAGATAAGACCAAATGAATCAGGATAAAAAGAGGAATGAAATAGAAAGGAAATATGGAAAGGGGAAAATAGTGTAACGGCATCGTACTCTCACAATTGTGAGTCCGCACAAGCAGGTTTTGTGGCAAGTACAAGCAGGATTGTGGGTAAGCACAACCAGGATTGTGAGTATGCAGAAGCAGGATTGTGGGTACGCACAACCCGGATTGTGAGTACGCATAACCAGGATTGTGAGTACGCCCAACCAGCATTGTGAGTACGCACAAGCAGCATTATGAGTACGCACAAGCAGCATTGTGAGTACGCACAAGCAGGTTTGTGGGTAAGCACAACTAGGATTGTGAGTACGCACTAGTAGGATTGTGAGTAGACACAACCGGGATTGTGAGTACGCACAACGGGGATTGTGAGTACGCACAACCAGGATTATGAGTACGCCCAAGCAGGATTGTGAGTACGGACAAGCAAGACTGTGAGTATGCACAAC